TTATTCTTGACAGAATTCTTCTCCTCATTTTTCAGCTTCTTTCATTATCAGGGTGATCTTTGAGCCTCAAATTCTGATGCCTTAAAGTCAATCATAAGGACCAGGCCAGGGAAGATGAATCATCGCAATTGCTCTTTTCAGCAGCGAGCGCTAGTTTTTGACCATTTCTCAAGGTCCTTGTTGCTGCTTGTCTGCACTCAAAGGCTTCCTGTCGCTACCTGCTGCAGCACTGAGGGCAGACACGTCAGCTGGGCTGTGTTTCCCACCAGCCACCCTTCCCATCCAGGCCGGAGCTGCCGCTCGCCTCCCGCGCGTGGCCGGCTGGAATCCACTCCCTGAGAGCCGAAGCTGCTGTCCACAGCAGAGCACTGCAGACACTCCACAAACCGGGCAGGGTGTGCACATACACGGGCTGCTGCTGGGGGTGACTTCTCATATAAGGGTGATACACAAGCACATCAGTAAGAGGAATGATGTAAGAAAAGGATGAAAGGCAAACCAGAGGGAGGAGGTGGAAGTAAAAGAAGTTACCTAAGCAAAGGAAGAAGCTGCCAACTTCAGAACTCAACAGCAGCTGTGCTTGAGAATATAAAAGTTGCTCCTTTTACATGCAATGAGGCAGTCTCATCTTCCATGCAGAAGTCCAGTCCTGTTCCCCCTGAATTTCTTTTCCATACAGACAAGGGGATCTAAGGCTTGGCTTCACAAGTGATCTTAAGAAGGTTAAGCTTGAGTGAATGAGGTTCAAGGCAAACAAAAAAAAAATCAAGCTTTTCCTCATTGGAAAGAGCTGTATAAAGGCAGAGATGCAGCCTCTCTGTTGCAGGTTCTTTGAACAGGAACACAGGGCAGGACAAGTAAATATGACAAAATGATACCTTATGTTTTGCACATTCCAGTGAATGCTTACCTGTCTAAGGATGGTCAGAAAAAGAATTTTCAGTAAACAGGGCCTTGAAGAGTAGATGGTGACTCCTGCTGCTGTTGCAGCACCCCATCTCACCTTCAGCAAGATTTAGTCCCAGTGGTTTTGAATTTAACCTTCCCTTTTGTGGGGCATGAGGGGGAAGCTGAAAGGAGGATAATTTCTAAGGATTGAGAGGTGGACATTACTCTGAGGTGACTGCTGCCATTAACAGTCATGGCTCCCAAGCCATATGAAATGAAGAAATTGTGAGTGGAGGCAGAGGAGAGCAGTTCTGCCTAAGTTAGTCTGGCCCTGGAGAGAGAGCATTTGTGCACTGCAGCTGGGGGCCTGGAGCTAAACTTTCCTCCAGGCTAAGATACCTACCAGGATATGTAAAGCACTTTGACAAAGGTATCGTGGGACAGGGGCAGCAAAGCATCCAAATCAGCTGGGACCTGCAGCCCTTTTGATGGGGAGCAACACCAAACAAGTCTCTTCATCCTTCTAGGCTCTTACATGTACTGTGTATGCTGACATGGTTGCTATCATCTTTCCCACTCTTCACTTTGTTCGGTTTCCGTACACTGGATGAGAGGCAAATCAAGCTGCCAATTTGCCTTGTGGATAAGGATGAAATCCAGAGCATCCTGTCCAGCATACACAGCAAGTCTGCAGCAAGCAACTGAACACAGGATCCCCTGGTCGCAGGCTAATGCCAAAGCAGGTGGGCTGTTCATCCCCAGAGTTAAGACCCTTGTTCCTGCCACATCTTTTGAGACACTTGCACTCTGTTTGTGTTTGCAGACAGTTTTGTTTTTGGTTTGGAGATTAAAGTGGCTTTGAGCAAAATGACTGGAATGTCTGCCCATGGCAATCCTGAGCTATGCAGGGTTTGTCTCTGAGACCCAGTCCTGTTTATATGGAAGCTTGATTAAAGATGAGCGAGAAGGAGCTGGAGCTCCCTTAGTGGCAGAGAAGAGGTGTGAATTCAGTACCTGAATATGAACTTCATCCTGCTGTGAGAGGCAAAACTAAAATTCTGTCTCCAAATGTTTCTGGGCAGGAAGATTTGAAATTGTTTTCCTAAAACAATTCCTAAAATCTAGTGTGTTTGAATTGATGGAGTGCTGTGCTTCCAATTCAAACCTGAAATCCATGATAGGATCCTGCTTTGTGTCTGAGTCCGTAAAAGAAATTGTCTGTGAATTTCAGGTAAAATTCTAGACTTCAAAGAAGTTTCTTGTGACATTGTTTCCTTGGGCTGTTTATTTATTTATTTGTGGAGGTTGTTGGGGTTTTTGGGTTGTTTTAAAGAAGATCTAGGTGTTTGAATTGGCTATTTCTCATTCTTGTGACTGCCAAGACTGAAAAGCTGTTGAATGTCACAACAATGCAGAGAGAGATGTGTCTGAGCTCTGCCTTTTAGAAACCCCTAATTTTTCTGCTTGATGCCTCAAGGTTGTGGTGGAAGGAACCAGCCAAGTGTACAAAGAAATAGGAGTAAAATGTTACTAAAAGAAAAATGTTTACAGGGAGGTCTCCATGCTCTGCCACTGGATAGTCACATTATGCTAACACAAGCGATTCTGGAATGCATTCTTATTTCTAATCTGGCCTTCATGTGTGGAGTTGCTTTCATTTGCTTGTACTTGCACGTCTAGTGACTTCTGACTCTCCCACAGGCAGATTGTAGGGTCATGGCCTTGCTCCTATTTCAAGTTTCATGGAGGAACTATATGTAGTCTTTGGCAGAATCTCAGGTCTGGCATGTACAGAAATCTGGTTTTCCCATCCAGTTTTTGCTTTTTGCAGACTCAAATAGAAGTTTTTATTTTTTCCCCCTAAATGCTTGCATGAAAACTGTCTATGAAGGTTTAGAAAGCAGCTGGCTGGTCCAAAACTGCATCTTAGGGGAAGGGGACTTGTAGTCAGGTCCCTCTGGTACAGTAATTCCTTGGGAAGATGCTGATGCCAGTTTTGCAGAAGTCCAGTAATTCATCATCCTCTTCTTGTTGTGCTTCTTATGGCAATCTTTGTATGGGTTAGTGCAGCTAATTCCACTGAATTTACAGTTTGTGATTAATTCTAAGACAAGCTTCTGGTCTCTTCTTGCCCTTCATGGCTTGCGTGGGCAAGATCTCATCTGATCCCTTTAAACTTAAGAATAAGATGTATTTTAATCTTGACCAAACTCAGTTGTTTGCTGGTGGTGGGAGCCATACAGTAAATGTCTTTTTGAATCTGTTTCATTCCTTTGAAGAATGATAGCCTAGCTTGAGCTCAGGCCACCTATGTGCCAAATGCCACATCCTGAAACCCGTTTCTGATGTGTACTGAGGGCTGTGGAAAGCCTCTTTCAATTGTATCTCCTATGAAACATTAGATTGTGAGAAAGGGTGTGTCAGTAGGTCAGCTGGGTAAGGTGCAAGAATTTGACTTCACGGTCTCTGCATTCACCAAGAGGCTGAGTATGCTGGTAAAAAATCTTTAGGCAGTGGCAGGAATTCCACAGGCTGCAGTTTCCTGCACAGACAGTTTTGTATGCAGAGGATGAAGTATGGCATCCTCACAGTGGAAGATGGTGGACATTGATCTGTTCAGATGCCTGCACCTAGCCTTGAGCTAGAGAGCTGTTCTCTTATATACCTTAAGGAATATGAATAATTCAGTAAATTAAAAAATGGGAGACTGTCCAAGAGGATTTGGGCGCATGTGGGGAAAAAGCATCTTGGCTTTTTTTTCTTAAGCTGTATGGCTAGTCCCTGGTGCCTGCTGTTTCTCCTCTTTACTGAAAGACTGCCTCAGTTTCCCAGTTTAGTGAATTGCTTCTTGGAGAACCACAAAATACTTCCCAATGCATCTCATTTTACCACTTCTGCTTTGCAAATCAATAAATGTTCCATGAGTGTGTCAAGGCAAGAAAACAATTAATACCAAGAAAAAGTACTTCCTTGGCTTGCAGGCAGCTCCCAGCTTGCTTCTTTCCCCAGATTAGCAAGGATTTAAGAAGCACATTTTCTGTGTATGCTAAATTATCTCTGCAGAAACCGCAGCATACCATCATTCTGCTCTTATCTCTGAATTCCACGGGCAGGCAATCTCAGCTGCTAAGCACAGGCTGGCAGCTTTAGCTTGCCAGTAGGTGCTGAAAGCCATGTAAGCGTGGAAATGACAGTGACACACAGCTCAGATGTTATCTCCTTAGCAAAGCCAAAGGCAGTTTCTATGGTGATGGAGAAGCTCCAGGCTGCTGGGGATGCAGCTGCTGAATTGGATAGGATCAGTAGCCTTTTCATACAGAGGCTTTTCTAATAAAGCTTTTATGTGTTTATGTGGCACTCACTAGGTTTTATCCAGCTCTGGAACATAAAATGAAGGGTGAGGGAAGATTTAAATTGTTGGTGTGAGTGCTGACCTAAAAATGAAACAGGAAAAGCAGGGTCAAAATATTCCGAGTATTGAAGTATCCACAAGGGATGGTTTTTTGTGACAGCTTGAGTGAATTTGATATTCTGGTCAGTGTTTTTCTGCACACCAACATTAATAACTCCTGAAATTCTTACATCAATTAGAAGAGTCCGAATCATATCCCCAGCTCTTAACTTTCTTCTGAATTGGATCCAAAATCAGAATGGGTCTCTTTCTCTGTATTGAGACTATAAATATCCCAGAGACTTGGGGGAAGTGGATGATCTTGTGACTTCTACATCTGAAGCACTTTGCATGTCTTACACTTTACTTGGTCCCTCTTTTGGGTAAAAATCTCTCAATACCTCAGCACAGGTATGTGGAATTAATTTCTTATTTTTCCTATAGAGTCTTATGGCCTGTCTTTTCGTTTTTGTTATTGCTGAGACAGCAGATACAACATCTTCAGGTTTCCCACACTGGAAATGCATATTTTGCCCTTCTGCTTTGATCTTCTATCAACCTGTGCTCTGTGGGTGCGACAGAACATCTGCATGAATTGCCTGTAAAACTGCTCAATTAAAATAGTAATTTAATTATTTTGACTGAGATTTTTGGTGGTGTTCAACTTTGGTTGCTCTCTTTTAAACTGGATGCTAAAATAGATTTATATTTTGTCTTTCAGGTGGTGCAGGGGACCGGGAAAAGATGCCTGTCAATCATGAGGCTTTCCTGCTCATGGCTAATTCCCAGAATGAAATGGAAGATTGGGTGAAAGCCATCCGACGGGTTATATGGGCTCCATTTGGTGGAGGTATTACAAATAGCTCACATGCACATAAATTAAAACATTTGCCTCAAGGTAAAACATATTCTTGTGATACTAGGATACGTGTAACACTGTAAAATCATTGACATGTCTAGATAAGCTCCTGATTGTCTGAAGTGTTTTGAAGCAGGGGATGGGGTTGGTTTTTTTTTTTTTTTTTTTTTTTTTTTTTTGGTAGGGGATGGACAGGAATGAAAGGGGAGTGCACATCCACAGTGTATAACTGTCTCAGAAATGGATGGTGGTAACAAACATACTACTATTGTCAGTATTCAGTTCTTTACAGCAAAATATTCAGTGGTCCTTATGGGAATGAAGGATTCTGTCCTGTTATCTCAATTTTCTTCCATAAGAGCAGATACCAATCTTGAACATCCATACAGCCAGAAACAGCAAAACTTTAATTAAGTTAATGTAGGGCCCAGCTGAGAAGGCAAAGCTTCCACTGGCTTCAGTGGGGGTGTAGCCTGAGGAAGAAGAGGGTCAGGCTGAGTGAACACCTGTAAGGTAATACAGCTGTTGACAATCCCTGTAGTTAAAATGAACACAACATCCAGACTTTCTTTGTTGATATTATACCACAATCTTTGAATTCTCAAGTCAGTAGACTAGATAGGAGTTGTTTTTCTGGTTTTGCATGGAACAAGGACTCACAGATGTTTTCTTCTGGGTTTGGTGTTGGTGACAGCAGCTGCTGGCCTGGTACTGGACACTGTGCTTTGAAGTGGCTTACTGATGGAGTGCATGCAAACAGTGGTATCATATGCAGACAGTGCTGTGGCCTCTTGTGAGAGGTACAGATAAAAAAGTGCCAGATAAGGGTTAGGTAATACAATTACTCTTGCTGAAATGAAGTTACTAGTTTTCCTGGATCTAAGAGGGGAAAAAAGTGATCTTGATGTACTAAGATCCCACTGTGTGTTAGTAACTTTTGTCCTGGGTTTGGTTGTTTTTGTTTTTTTTGCTTGGTTTGTTTCAAGTGACTCTTGAAATTTGGGTTCTCTGGGTAGCAGCACTTGGTGTGTCTGGAGGAGATAGAGTCTCTACTGATGCAACTCTTTCCAAGGTCCTTCTTTCACTTAGCAGAGAAGGTACAAAAGTTAGCTTGTGTCTGATCTGAGGTTGTGTGTGATGCTGTGGGCAAAAAAAGCTCTCTTTGCCAGTAGAAAACTCTACTAGCAGAATTTCTCCTCAAACATGAGTATGTGCTTCCTTTGCTTCTCTTCTGAATTCCTGTCCACAGTGAAGGGTCTTTTAGACTGAGGTCAGTGCAGATTCTCCATCAGAAGTCTCAGAATCCCAGAGCTGGTATTTCTGTAGCCATTTGTAGTTGATGTTATGGTGTGTATTTTATAACTTTGCAATGTACATTCAAGAAATACTCTGAGGAAAAAGGAGACAGTCATGACAAGTGGTGCACTCTCTAGCAATAGCCATCTCTAGGGCATGATATTGCCAGCACTGCTGGTATCAGTGCAAATTTGGCTTCATGTTTTGCTTATGTTTTGTCCATCTCTTGAAGTAGTTTCAAAACAAATATCTTCAAGTAGTAAAATAATAAATAATTTTAAATTCTAATATTTTAAAACAGAACATGAGAATGGCATAAAGGTAGTGATGGATTTGCTTTTTTTGTTTGTTTCTTTCTTTATGGGGCTAGTATTGTTCTAATTAATTGGCTAATGTTCTTTACCTTTGAATTTCTCTGCAACGAGGTCAAATCATATTTTGGTCTTTTCTTTAAATGAGGCAGATACTCTTATGTTGATTCCAGAAACTGGAGCTTTATGAGGCATCAAAAAACATGAAATAATGAGAATGTGGAAGCAAGGCAGCACAGGGGAGATTAGAGCAGGGAGATAGTGCAGGGAGGAATACAGGAGCTTCTGTTTTTTGCTATTTTCACATCCTGCAGACTTGATGTGGTTCAGTGATCAAAGTCAGTAAAGGCTGCTTTAGCTATTGGTGAGAGCCAGCTTAAGCACTGTAGAAGAGAAGCAGTGGAGTTTGCAAAGTTGGAAAGAATTGCAGTTGTGCATCTATGTTTTTTCTCTGTGGATAAAAACTATGGATAAAAATCTATGGATAAAAACTGGTCAAGGACATGGGTACATGCTGGGCAGTCAGTCTAGCCTGAATTCTCTGCCCTAATACACAAATGCATTAGCCTAAAGCTAGCTTGACTGTGGCTGCTTTTTAGTCCAAGCTGCAAGAGCAGATTCTTATGTTGTGGCCACTTCTCTGAGCTGGTCAAGTTCCAGCTGCTGTCAGGAGGGGTCTTCTACCCCCCAGCAGCCATGTGCTCCACCACGCTTCCTGCTGCTGACACTGGTGCCTGTGAGTTGTGCAGTAGGAAACGACCTGGCAGGAAATAAAAGGTAGGGAGGATTAGTTTGTGGGTGGATTGATTCCTGGCCCTGCTAACCATGCAGCTGCAACGCCAGTAATTCCAATGGGGAGACATGATGGCATGGAGAGGGGCAGGCTTCTTCATTCTGCCTGCAACCCACACATACTCTGGCTTAAAGAAACCACGGAGTTGCATCCTTAGTTTCTTTGCACTTCAGAAGGAATGCATAGGAATGCCAATAACTGGGAAGCAGTAAAGATATTCAAACCGTTGTTCCCAAATATTTTTTTAGCCAGTTTGGGAAAATGATCAAACTTACACCTTCTCCATCATAATCAGAGCAGGACAGTTTCTCTGAGTGAAATTGCAGCTTAACTCAAATGTGGGAGGACAATAAACATAGATGTCTCTGTTTTAATGGAATAATTTGAACTCTGCTTTGCCACCACCACTAATTTGAGAGCCAAGCCTTATCTATCAACGCTTTTCAATATATTAAGCTAAAGGGAGGAGTTAAAAAGCAGGCTTTATTATTAATATGCAAATACCCAGCCCTGGAGAAGGTTGATATGGTGTAAAAATGAATTATGCCAAGATAAAAGGAGTGGCTTAACCACACTTTAATCTTTGCTGATGTATTGAAGAAACATAAATAAAAAAGGGTTGAGGGTACCTTCTTATGTTGATGAGAGCATATGAACTGTGCTTAAAGGTGAACAGCAAAGGCTTCTTAAAATAAAACAGAAAACTCCCCAAAGCAGCTGAGGTTCACAAATTACTGATAGAAGACACAGTCAGGTTTAAAAGCCATATGGAATGTATTCTTTGAAATACGCTTCAAATGTGGCCTTAAAATAAAATCATAAAGTTCCTAAGTCTTTTGAAGAAGAACTGTCTTGTTTATAGGGAAAATAATCTCTAACTAGTTTCCTTGAGTTTCAGACTCCTGAATTCTTGAGTCTAGTACATCTCATTTAGAGCAGGAGATTTTGTAAACTGAGATTTGAGAGTACTCCATGCATTTTGATTGTCTTAAAAAAAAATGTTTGTCACAGTGACTTGATGACAGTGAGTTTTAGGAGCACATTCTTAGAGAGGGTGATTGAAACTGTTTTCTATGATCCTTCATAACTCTGTGACAAATCTTGCTCCATGCTCGTACCACTAAAAGCTTATCTGGAGAGTCCCTCTGTGTCCTACAGTCGCACTGTTCAGTACCTGCTCATTAATGTGAAGTGCATGGAGCAGTGCCACAGTGCTAAATCAAAGGGTTTGTGGCCATAGGCTTGGGTGAGAGTGACCTTGCTCTCCCAAGCTGGATTGGAAGTTTTTGATGTAGCTGGGGGGAGAGAGAAGGTCTTGGTCTGTACAAGTGTGGTGGGACTGTACTTCTAATTTGGGGAGGTACAGCAACTGCAAAGTTCCTTTCTGTGTGCCTTCCTCATTTCTGTCTTACATCAGCTGTAAAACAGAGTTTGTCTAGGACTGAATTTCTGGCTAAGAGACCAAAACCTAAACTTTTTGGTGCCTGAGTTGGATGCCAGGTGGCATAATTCTCTCACAGCTCAGCACAAAACCAGCACAGCATGGGGACAGAATCATTCTGTGTTAATCTTGATTTATGTTTGTGTTTGTTTTCTTCTGTTTACATATTCTGTCTTGCCATGAGCAGTTCCTTGCTTCTCTGCCAGAAATGCATGTCTCAGCCCCTTTCTTTCTCCATTACTTTGTCCTAATTTCTCCTCCTCTTCATCCCAAGCTTTCATCAGTTACTTGTAATGGAGGGGAGGTGAAGCAGTTGGAAGGGATGTGTTTCGCCTTAGGCAAACATGAAGAACTTTACCCTGTGACAAAATAATTGTGTTGCCAGAGCTTCATGAATAGTTTTTCTGTTCAGGAGGAATAGTCACTGTAAAACTGGTGGGGCCTGAAGAAATGTCCACTGAAGAAGCTGTTCTACTGTCATTAATTCCAGACCCTTTCCCATATAGATAAACCATGGTGTGTGGATTCTTATTCTTCTGCCAGCAAAGTTTGGGGTTTTTTGGGAGCCAGGGCCCTGTGAAATTGTCTTGTATTAGGGGAGAGCTGAAAGATGTGGGACAAGGTGTCTGAGGTGTAATTTAATTCCTGGCTCAATGTCCTAATGGGTAATGGGAGATTAACCCTGCATAGGGCTAATTAGGGATCCTGCTTTAAATGAGTAAATATCTTTGGGATAACATCTGCATGAGAGCAAGCACGACTGTTTTGAAGGGTCAGATAATGATATTAAATACATGTCCACCAGAATGCCAAACTGTTTAGGAGCTAGGATACAGCATTAGGTTTTGGGAGTCTTGAGTTTTAATTTTTCCACCTATGAGATGGGAATTTTCCAGTCAAAGCAGCATAAACCTAGAGCCATGTCAGTGAATTTAAGGTGCTAAAATACTACTGAAGAGATAATGGAGAGGAGGAGGGAATTGGCTTCTGCTATTTGCCCAGTCTGAAGACAGAGAGGTGATTTCTACTCCCTTGTTTGCAGGATCCTGCAGAGTGACAGCCTCAAGTAGGATTCCTGACTGGGTCAGGAGGAGCCCCTTCAGGAGGTGTCAGGGTGGGCTTCCCTTGGGCAGGCTCCCCCAGGTGTGTG